AAATTTACGAATAAAGTTTGTTACCGTTTCCCGAAGAATTTATCCATCGAACTTTTTTTTATCGATCTTGTGCCAGATAGAGCTGTGAGAGGTTCACCTCATCAGGGGCCCTACAGCGTTCCTCGTATGTTTTCTGGTATAGGAACAACAGTCTTAGCTTGTCTTGTATGCATACTACTGCCTACCGTACTCCCAACATAGGTGCGACTAGTAGATCAGCGCGTTCTTCGCCAGGTTTGTGCGATTGCTTGACGCCACTACGAACTTGTACGTTTTTTACAAAAATACTCCGCTATAGTTATCTTCTACTCTGCGTCTTGACTAGCGCAGGTATATTTTTACATATTCAGCTTTTTACTTTATTTCAAAATTAATATCTGCTCGCGATACATATCAGTATATTTTAGGTCAAATTCCGTCAGTATGGTAAGTTGCAAAGCCAGGGGAAGAGGACAAGTTCTATCCAATCGGTGAATATTTGCCGTCCCAAGAAAGATCAAGAAAAGCTGTTTTAGCTTTGCCGATAACGTCACATATGACCGCTAAATGTTCTACCTTGCCAAGAAGAACAACAAGAAAAACTGACTAAGCTTTTTCGTCGGACAGAGACGAGATCACAAAAGCGGAAATCATTCGCATTCAAGTGCTTTCAAAAGAAATCCAAACGGGGAAACTGGGAATGTTGTGAACTGCTCCTTTACACTACAATCATAAACTGTGATCGTGATGGAACAGAGGCTTTAATATTTCTTGATCAAAGTTCACTGATCGCCAACGGAACTCACTCGTCCCCCCTATCTATGGGCTCATTCTCGAGCCCTGCTAGCAGCCGCAAAACGGCTAAAAGTCTAAGCAGATAGCCGAGACTTTAATTAGAAAGTTTTCATATCTCATGGTCTTCCTTGCGTTTACAATTCCTACTTATGGGGAAGAAACGTTTGGTCCGGGTCATAGTAGTGGAGATCCAGGAGGCTATGGTGGAGGCTTGGGACCTGGAAACCGCTTCGTGTAACGACTAAAATCAGGTGAGATAGTCCGGTCTGCCCCTCCAATCACAGTGAATACTTGTAAAAGGGCCAGTTCTGCGAAAGAGCGAGAAATACGTTTTATTTTAAAGGTAGCATCCAAATGTTTGAACAAAAACATAGTTGCTAAATTTTCTAAATACTCACAGATCTAGAGGTTTACATAAAATCCACATCTATTTTGCAAACAGATCTAATCTCGGGAAGACGTCTTTGCCATTAATTCAGAGTGAAGCGGATGGATAATCCCATTAAGAATGAGATCAGGAATTGCTTGACTGTTTCAAAGTCTCGATGTAAGTATTATGTAAGCTAAAATAAAGTATAGGAAACATAGGCAGCTGAAGAGAGCATTCGGAGAATATGTTTAAAAATCAACAAGTCTTTTTGAGGCAAGGCTGGTAAAGGAACCAGAAAGCAGTAGAGAATGGGGAGAAGGGAGAATCGTCCGAGATCACTTCTGCAGGCTCTCTATTTGGAAAAAATGCATTAGCAAGGGAGTTTTGCAGAAGTCGCCACAGTTGTGCTTCCGATAAATTATGGCAAGGAATGGTCAGTTCTGCCCCTTTTCCCGTAACAGAACATAGAAGAAGAAATGCTTCCCCTCCCCTACGCAAAATTCCAAACAGGATAAATATTCCCATGTCCCCAACCCAATGCGAAACCTTACCAAACTCTTAACCATAACAATTCCCATACCTCCAATGTTCATGCTGAATCAAATTTTCCTGCAATTTAATGGAAAGCCACCTGAGGCTCTTATACTGTTGCATGCAAACACATCAATGAGGTTCTTTTTTCCAGTACTTTCCATTTTCTAGAAGAGAATTACGGACTTGAGACTTCTCTGCAAGATCGAAGGACTACCGGAACCTCTACAGCTCAAAATTTTTGGTGATACGAAAGGGCTGTCATTTGCAGTCGCCAGCTTCCCCTCGGAGAAGGTCCTTTGGTACAGTTTTGTGTTATCTGCCTGAAGTATTCGATTAAGAGTATACTCTTAATGCCTAATTAACCTGTTCGAAAGTGTATTTTCTATTTTCTTTCATTTATGAGGATGAATTTGCGGGAAGATATGGTAAAAATGAGAAATTATCATATCAAAATAACTGCTTTACACTTTCTATTCTACGCTTTAAGTAACCAAAGTGACGAAGCCGACTTTAGCGCGAAGGGCAGAGTATATTCAGTGTTCACGCCTTACTGAGCCCCTTTTCCATCATTGTGGCGGTAAGATTTAGGTCGTTTGCAGTATTCAGTAATGCGTTGATAAAAGAACAGTAGATTTAAACTGAAGTTTAATTGTGAATGGCTCTTGACAGCATGACCAATGAACATTTTTCCACAGCAGTTGTTCTGGGCTGTTCCATTTGTCTCCTAACGGTAACATCTCTCCACCTCTAACCAGATTCACCTTGTCTCTGTTGTCGTGGAAGGTCTCAGTGACTTGAGTCTCGAATAGGGAAACCTAAGAGGATTAAACTATTCCCGTCAGAAAAAGAACAAAATCGAATCAAAGATCATAACTCCCACTTAACATGACGAATTTTCTTGCAGATTTTTGAGCAGTTCATTATGTTCTTCGTACACTTTCGTTGTTTCGGGTGCGGGGCATTTTGCACTGAGAAGAATCACTTGTTCTTCCACTGAACTGCTAAAATCAAAAGCCTGAACCACCGTGGGTGCTGCGCACATCACTTCACGGGAGTTAGAAACCGTATTCAAAGATACTATTGCCATAGGGTGTAGTAGCGTCCAGTTACATAAAGTAGGTGTTAGGACGGCACAGAAGATGGGTCAACACTCTAGCCAGCTTCGGGTCAGGATGACGAGGCAACAAAAACACCCGATAGCGCCATCGCATGAAGGACTAGTTTACGCGCGACCTCCAAGTGCCGACACCACGCGAGGACACAGGGAGTTAGGCGCACGCGAGACGCAGCCGCCGGGTTGTGTCACACTGAGGTCACCATCATCGCTCAACGGCTGTCCGGGTAAGCGCCAATAAGAAGATATAGGGAACAAGAACTGCTGGCCCTTAAATAAGAGGCTGCGAACAGAATGCGCATTCTCCTACCGACACGAGATTCTGTTGCCCACACCAGAGCGTGCTGCCGACGACAGAAGACAAGCTGTAGACGGGACGACTTGATGACGGACACGAGACAAGTCGAAAGGCAGGCGCAGAGTTTGATGTTCACGCACAAACTGTCTTCCTAGCATACAACTGGGGGATATAACAGTAGGGATCAGGTTTATGTAGTATACGTAGACGGTCTGTTTATTCTTATCAGCTACCGCGTCCTATTTCATCAAGAGTGGGTCCCAGGTCGCTAGTGATACGCCTAGACGGGTTGTCTAGGTCCGTCCGTACCCAGCTCCGATCCTCTTGACATTCAGAAGAACTGAACTACAACTCACATATTCAATTCTATTGGCAACCTCAT